GAGTAAAGGAGAAGAAACAGGCAGGAAAGGAAAAGGAAGAAAGAATAAGAAAAAAGAGGCAGAAAAAGGAAAAAAGAAAAATAGAGAAAGGAAAAAAGAGGGAAAGGTGGGAAAGGAAAGGAAGAAAGAAGAAGGGAAAAGAAAGGGAAAAGAAAGAGGAAGGGAAAAAAGAATGAAAGAGGAAGCAAAAGAGGGGAAGTAAAGAAAAGAGAAAGGTAAGGAAAAGAGCAAAGGAGGAAAAGAAAGGAAGCAAGGAAGGAAAGAAAGGAAAAGAAAAGCTAAAGGGGAACAAAGAAAAGAAAGGCAGGAAAAGAGGAAAAAAAGGAAAATGGGAAAAAGGAGGATTACATTATTCATACTGTCTGTCCAGTATAAGAGGTTTAAGTAAACATGCTACTAATTTAAGCTATTTTAAATGTTTAGCTTTTTTTTTTTTTTTTTCAGAAATTATTTAGGGGAAATTTAATAAGCTCTGTTAATATAAATACAAAGGGGACGATTGGTTCAGCTAACTACACAGACAGAGAGGGATTATAGAGGTGTAAGGATCTTTCGTTTTTTTTGAGTAATTTTATGATAGCTTTTCTAGCTATTTCAGTATTAGTATTACAGAAATAGTACCTGTAACATGTAGTACTTCTGGGCTGTGTACACACAGGTATTACTTGCTGATGCTTTGAATACAGGTATGTAATTATGCAGACTGACTTTATTTTTTAAATTACTGTCAATAAAGATCTTTTTTTTTTTTTCCTCAGATGGTGCTGTCTTTAATTTTATGAGCCCTCATACCTCAATTAAGGCCCTTTATTTCATTATCAACTTTGTACAGTACCTAGAAAGTGTAAAGTGCTTCATTGGAAATGAAAAGCACAATTCCAAGGACGGAACTGAGTTGTAAAGGAGGATATAAGTGTTTTAATTTGTTTAAATTGTTACATAATTAATTTTGTTTCTACCTTGTATAAAAGATAAATGTCTTGTCAGCTGTGCTGCATTAATTTCTGTGTCTTAGTCTGACTCATGTACAGTCCAACTAGTGTAACTAATTCCTTCTTTCTAGGACTTCATTTTACTTCCAGCCTACCAATCCCTCACTGATGTATTGCCAAAATAATGGCAGATTTTGCCATATGGCATGTCCTTTATATGTCATGCATGTGGGATATGAAGGATATTGACACTCATTAATTATTTCTGATAAACTATCTCAAGCCGTATTGAATTCTTGTAAGACTGTCTCTGCTATGTGGAGGCTGACGGGACTTCCAGTACATTAGGTTTCACAACAATGGCTCTGCTGTATTTTACAGGGCTCTGTAAAATAAAACACATGGAGCCACAGGTGAATTTCTTTTACCTACCAAGAGGATTAGGGCAGTGAGGATGTATGCTCCTATGGAGAATGCTAGCAGTAGTTCCAAGGGGGAGAACTGAGTTGGGCAAGTAAGAAATATATCCATTCCCTAGCTTCATCGCAGTATTGGGTGTGCTGTCTTACAGCCTTAGTGTACTCCTCCCCTGAAACTGTGCATAGAGGTTTCAAGGGCTCAGGACAAAAGCCAAACAGCCAGAGCAAATTTCCTCGCCCTGTTTTGCCCAAAAAGATTGTTCCCCTTAAGACAAGTTTATTTCATCTCTTTTTCATTCGTAGTTCTGTGACTTAGTTCTAGACTTATTCTATATAGTACAATAATGTAAATTCACATGTTTAAATGTGTAGAAACCTGTAATATCTATTCAGCAAGGTTTCTGTGAACAAATATTATGGTAGCTTTTATCATCTAACTATATAGCTCATCTTAATAAAGGAGGATTTCACTCTGAAACTCTTAGGCAAATCTGCCCTTGATGGGGTGGCAATTCTTTCTAAGCG